ATGTAGTCAGGCGAAGTGTGGAATTTTTGCGGCAGAAAACGAGCACCCACCATGGTTATGAGGTACTAAAAGTATTCAACCGACCTGAAATGTACTGTACTCCGTGTAACACCTAAGGAACCACTGTGAGACAGATCCTCACAAGCAGTAAAATATTGTAGAAGACCTCAAATGTGCTATCGAGAACGTCGCGGAACCATCTAGAGGGTACTAATGAGTAGGAGGCTCGGATTGTCCAGGTACATTGAAGAGGTAGTACGCTTAAACTTAAAGGCAAGAATCAGGATTAAATTGATGGGGTGATTCCACTCAAATGTGAAAGTAGGGATGGGAGGTGGACCGCCAGTGGAGAAAAAGGAAAGAAAATCCTGAAATACACAGGAAATACGAGCATTTTGCTCATGCTGTGGAGAAGTTCAAAAGACAGGCAGGGAGATGAGAGATAATGTGAGCGCGGAGAGTGGTAGAGAAGTCCGAGAAGAGAGAGCATAGCAGATCAACGTGGCGACGCAGACAAGATATCGAACGGTGGGCGGACCATGTTAAGTTTGGTGGAGTCTGTTAGAAGTCCATGGCGCCTAGGGTCCTAGTGACGCGTTTCGATGTAGAAAGGTGGCGCTACCTTTGCACTTGCGTACCCAGCACTTCTAGCCATGGTAAGGGCTTCTTAGGTGGGTCTGAGCCCGAACTTTGCCTTTAACTTGCCCAGAGAATTGCAAACAAGTTGACAGGAAGTGGGAGTTTTAGTTTCGAATCCTCTTGCGTAGAGTGCCCCTATACTTTTGAAACAGGGAGCATATCTGAATTTACTCATAGAAATGTTTTCAGCTTACATTGCTCTCTGAAATAAAGTGATCTATAGCTTCAGACATACACTTTAAAGGAGGAATTCACGATTAGAATGAAGGTCGAAGAAAGGGAAACTGACCTAGTTGAGGGACCCACGGACCTCCTGAGGGTGCGAACTGACGCGCAATTCGCATGGAAAAATTTGACCTCGGCGACCTATCATGCCTCAAAGCTGGCGGGTCCGGCGATCTCCGCCCACCGATCATCTGATCACTCGCCGTAGTTCAATACGTGGCGAGTGATTAGATAGCTGAGAGAGCGTAGTGTTGAAGAGGGCACAGCGATGAGAGTCGCATCAATGCTCAAATCAACGGGCAAGGAAGGGGTCCCATTTCTCGGGTTCTGGGCCGTTTCTCATGGTTCTTCCTTCTTTCGTGTACCACTCACCATCCCTAGGTTAATTTGAAATGGGTTGCTTTTTCATCGTGAATTCGTCCTTTAATTAAGTACCTTGCAAGCCATGAAACCTTTATCCTAACTGGCAGCGGTTGTTTTCAGTGGTGCCCCTCTACCTTTGAAATGCACTGTACTTTAATTTCTGCACACATTTTAGCACTCTACGTTCACATTTTAACCGTATCAGCTGTGAATTCTGTCATTGATCCTACGTCGCTTTTGTCGCACATTTTGGGAAATGCAACAGTGGTACCCATAGGCTGTTGCGAATCCTATTTTTTATGCACCTAAGAGGTTATTCTACTAACTGTAAATCAATCGAAGAATGTGCCACTCATAAGAGTGTTCCACAAGAAAAGTTTGATCACCCTTCCAGCTTCTTCTCAGTGGCAAATCCACTTTTAATTTCTGATTGTGGAAAACAGTAAACTTAAAACCAGGATTCTAGCTCACATCACACTCCATCAGACGCGAAGAATTTTATACATACTTACCTTGTTTGCGCATGAGCAAATCGCTGCGTCTACTCTCTCCACCTGAATCGGCGTCATCATTGAAGAATTCCTCAACGACATCAATATTTTGCTCATCAAGGTTTTTTGTTCGTGAGCCTGTAATAGTGAATCTATAGAATGTAGTTTAGTAATTTGGCGCAATTGCTATACGCAAAGCAACA